CTTTCCTCATTCTCCACAAGGAACTAACCTGGGCGGGTAGTAAAAGCTGAAAGTCCCTTCTTTGGTCAAAGAAAGCCTCGAGGGCTTTTCTCTTTCCCCAGAGACTTCTAGTTACTCCTGGTGAGGGCATCGTCTCACAAGTGCAGCCTGTCTACGTGACGGTTTCTGTGCGTACATGTGACTTTTTGTCGTTGCCAGGCAGGTGTTAAGTTGAACGTTGTAACTTTCTTGAGGCCCTACTACCCACCTGGCTCCGGGACAGGGTTCTGCGAGACGCCTTGAATTTGTCACTGTGTGCCACACCACTTAAGTCTACGTGGCTCATTAACAGTGCGCACGCGCGAGGCGGGGTTGTCGGTAACTTCCGGGCACTGAGGGGCGGGCTGGGGAGTAACACGTCTAGCTGGTCCGTTTTGGACACCCTTTCTGGCTCCTCCGCTTAGAATCTGGTGTCCATTTCTGGAAGCAGAGTCCAGGAGGTGAGGAGGAACTGGCAGCGTCCGGAAAAGCCGCCGAGGACCTCACTAGCTCACCCCGAGGGAGTCGCCGGGACAGGGGAGGCCTGGGGCAAGCGGCGGCTCGCGTCGCCTCGCGCACGCGCACTCGGAGTCCGCTGGACTGCGCGGGCGTTCACGTGACGCGGGGCGGTGCCGGGTGGGTGGGTGGATGGGTGGGTGAGAGGGAGGGAATTGCTCGAGGGAGGGAAGCAAACCGCGGGATCGGCGGCGGTAGCAGCAGCATGGCCGCGCTCTACGGGGGTGTAGAGGGGTGAGTGCAGCCTGGCGGAGGGAGTCCGGGAGGGCCGGCCCGAAAGCAGCTTGTGCCACCCGAGGGCGGGACTGAAGGAAGGCCTTGGACAGGATGGTGGCCTTCTGCTTCAGGGTCTGTCCACTTCGGGCTTTTAGGCTGCGAGGCCTTGCAGAGGAGGGTCGTGTGCACGCGCGTCGGTGCCTTTGCGCGCGCGGGGGTGTGCTTTGCAGGGGCTCTGCGGGTGCCACGGCCACACCCCGGGGTGGGGGTCCTTTGTGTTTCACGGCGGAACCACGCCCCTTTCTCCCACGAAACACTCACTCTTCTGTCCCTTGCTGGAGATGCTCCTTTTTCCCATTGCTCACCCCAGAGAGAGTTTTGCAGAACAGGTGTCAGGTGCGAAGTTGCTGGACTCCGGGTGGGGAGTGGGAGTGTGGTGAAGCCCCGGCAAGAAGATGTTTGCTACTGAAGGGTATCAGGGAGCTGGAGCAGCTGCGAGCCAGAGTGCTAGGTTGTCCTGATGCCTGAAACTCCTCCATTCTTGTTGGCACTCCAGGCTCCTAACCCTGAATGGAGACCTCTGTTATTCTTGCCTTTTACCTGCTCAAAAACTTGTCTACTGGACTTTTTGTAATAGCTCTTCCCTTCGGTATGAATATGGGCAAGACTTGTGCCCACTCTAGGCTTCAGTTACCACATGTGTATTGAGTGAGTAGAGAGATGAAGGAGATGATTGCCAAGTCCCCTGCCAGTGACAACATTCTGTTAATCTGGATGTGTCAAATCAGGATTATAGAGAGTGGCTTTTGTCTCAGCCAGGACATTTGAATCTGAGATTGGATTATTTCTATGGCAGCCACGTCTTATGCTGACTCACCACCCCAACGCCTTTTTTTCACACGCATTGTTAAGGCTGATCTCCCCCATCCTGTATCTATTGACCTTTTGTAAAACTAAGTACAGGAGTTTCCGTGTTGAACTTGCCACCTCATGCATTAACTACTTGAAATGCCTTGTCATTTCTGAGTTTGATCACCAGGTCTTCAGTGTCCTCTTCTGATATAACTAAAAGTACTGATCAATAAAGAAACATATCACACCACCACAGACCTCCCTCACTGTTTACCCCAATAATAAGCATTCGACAGTTTAGTTGCATAAGCGGGTATAAACTCTCCCTGCCATCTGATCAGTATTTCTTATAAGGATGTCTTCAAGACCTTGGCAGCTGGAGTTGGATCTTGAAAGGCAGCTTTAGCTTTCATAAGAAGCAGAGAGATGAGGCATTCTCTTTAGTCATATTTACTGAGTGTTTTCCTGTGCTAGATATGAGGGCAAATGATCTGAAGCTTGTAGTCTAGTGAGAGGCAGACAAGAAAACAACTGAACACCCTCTTCATACAGAGGAATCCTTAAGAGATGGGGAGCACTAACTTGGCTTAACTAGTGGAGCTATGGGGGTGAACCACACATCAGAGGTTTCAAGGACTGGATAATGTGTAAGTAAGGCCTTGCAGGATACGTAGGACATACCCAAGGGAAACCAAACAGCGCCTATGTTTCCGTTCAACAGCACAGCAAACACCAAACCATAGAGATGGGTTTGGGAACGGTGATTGGGTTTGCTGAAGTAGTTTCCATCATGCTGGGCTCTTGTCAGGGACTACACAAAAAAAGCCGTACCTTGTAGGGTTTTCTGAGCAAGACTGAGTGCCCCCTTGTGTTCTGTAGGGGAGGAACACGGTCCAAGGTCCTTTTACTCTCAGAGGATGGGCAGATCCTGGCAGAAGCAGATGGACTCAGCACAAACCACTGGGTAAAAGCTATATTGAGGGGACCATTAGGCTTGGTTGTGGTTTTATTCTCTAACTCCTGTTGTGGTGGTGGCTGGGGCTCACATAAGCAACCCGTAGGGGCAGCATAGGTTTGCAAGCCTGTAACTCCT